TGAAATTATCGTAAAATTTGCGAAATGGCGCGAAATGACACGATTTTAACAATTATCACATGATTTAAAACTGATCATGTGATTTAGAAATTATCACGTGTTAGGATTTCGACGAATGAAATCACAAATTTAATATGGAAATGATCGGCAAAATTTTTAGCGGTGGCTTAGCCATTTGATGCAACTAAGCCGTTTGCACCATATAAATAATAAAAAATTTTGAATAGTATTTTATTATTATTAATAAATTTATTTTATAAAAATATGATTTTTATTTTTTAATAAAAGGATTTTAGATGTTAAATTATTAAAATAGTTAAAATTTATATTTTATTACTTTAAACTATTTAATTATTGATTAGATTTTTACTAATTCTTAATTTTTTAATTTTAGTTATCAATATATATAATTTATATTATCTTGTTAAATCTAAAATATTATCAAGTGGAATTTTATTTTAATTAAGAAAAATTCTGTTTTATGTTACTTAAATTACTTGTATATAATACTAATAACTATACATTATTTGCTAATTTATTGTATTATACTATTAAATCTTAGTTGTAAAGTTTTAATTATAGTATTTCTTATAAAACAAATCAGTAATTTAAAAATTGGAAAAGTATTATTTTTGATTTAGTATTAAAAAATGTTCCTATCTTAACAATAAAATAAAACTTTTCAACTAACTTTTCGATGGAAAAATATTGGTTTTCAAAAAAAACGAGTATAGCATATATATACATTTATACGTTATTTAATAAGCACACATCAAATAGATTGATAAAAAGTCGTGTAATATTATCGGCAAATCACATGTAAATCCTCAAATAGGGCATGAACATATATTACAAAATGAAACAAAACATGCGCGAAACTTTTTAAGATTCATCAACATCCATACCTTCATAATTTCTCGAATGCATACTAACTATATGTTGATAAAATTCTTTTGGATATTCTATGATTTGGTAATCAATAACAAATCAAGTGGAAAACAAATAAATATGTTATAATCTAGAAAATATTGAAAATGGGATGCAAACGTAATAAGGCAGCGATGAAGACTTACCAGAACCTCTGATCGTAAAAGCGTAGCAAGCTAATTATAGATAGTTATTAAGTGGTGATGAATATAAAATATAATGTGAAACAAGCAAATCAAGCCGAACTATTGAAAAAAAATCAACTTAAAATATCCGTACCGTCTTCGACCTTTGCTAAATTCATTTTAATTCCTTCCATTTTTTTTGCTAATGGAGACTTGCTTGGAATTTTAAAGGCATCATAATCTACTTACGAATGAACGGTCAATATTGTTCAGCTACAAAAATGATTTTAATTTAAAGTTTTCTTACCAGCCTTTAAAATCCTTAAAAATTGACAAACTTGTATGGCGCGATTATGGTCACCTTTGCCAATACTATTAATAGCATAACGCATTAATTCGCCTGTTAGATCAGCTATACCTAAAACATAATCTTCAGCTAAAACGTGAAGAAACTAAAATGAAATTCCACAAGTGTATATACGTTATTATCCAATTTATGAGATATCAAGATGCAATAATAATATATGTTACAAGTTTGCCCGATTGGTCTTTAAAATCTGAATCAACATTATCCTTAGGGATTAATCGATCATGCTCCAAGTATTCTAGAAATGACACAGCTTCAATATATTCCTGAATTGCAGGAGAAATATTTTTGTGATACCTAACATGATTACAATGAAATTAAAATTCGATATATCCTAAAACAAACTCATAATGGTAATTAAGAATCTACCTATAATAATTTGCATCTTCTAAATCACAAGAAATTTGTTGAAATAATTCAAGTATTTCTTTTTTCTTTGTTGCTGCTTCTTCTAAAACCGATTTTAATGTTTTTTGGTTTGCTCTTATAATCCAAAATTTAAAAAATCAAAATTTCAATTAAAAGAATAAAGAAAATGAATAGAAAAAATTTAAAACAAACCTATGAGCAAGAAATATTAACTTTTTACTCAAATATGTAATATCCCTATAAAAGGAATTGGATCAGCATTAATTCACGTATAAGTTGCATGTAAAAATTTTAATAAACCTTGAACATTTGATGATTCTTTCTCTTCTATTATACTATCAAAATTAGTTAATAGTAAGAATAATAATAATAATAATGATAAGAAATTAATGAATGTAATATTACACATACATGTTGGTCTAATGCTTCTCTAAAACCAGTAAACAAGGTTTCAATACCAACTATATCATTTTTATCCGACTGAGAATTTCGAATTTCAGTTTCCATTGTATCAAAATGGAAAAACAACCAATACCAAGATTAATGATACCAATATTAATGTCGGCTGGGATCAATTTGTGGCATTATTTATATTAAATGCAGCGATTTACTGTGGCTCATTCAGTGAAATTTATAGCTATAAAAGTTTCGAATTAATGCAACTAGTTATTCTAAATTTGGAAGATTAATTTAAATTTTTATATAAATGGCAAAATTAGCAAAATTCTCAAAATTCTCTTTCTATTCATCATCCTCCTTGTATTATATTTTAGTTTACTTCTTTTTATTTTATTTTGTTAGATTAGTATAGATAAATATGTTATGTTTGTTACTTTTTATTTGATACATTTTGAATCACAAATTTAAAATAATCGATTTTTTAAATATTTTTGTTTATAATTCCAACTTTAAAAGTTCTCCTTAAATTACTAAATAAATACCCCTCATGATATTATAGTTTCTTCAAACCACATTCTTTTATTCTTTTTTTTTTTAAAAGTTTGTTATTCCTAACATATCATGATGATTCGATTTGATTTAGTTTATAATTTTACAAAAATATCGATACGTAATTATGTGTGCTTAACATTTTGTTTAATATTTTTTGGAAATTATTTAAATTTTGTTGATGCAAAATTAACATTATATGATAAAAAAAATAATGAATTTGATTCTTTGGAAAATTTTGATTTATTATTTTTGAAGAATTCGGATAAAAATAATAATATTGATTATTATAATAATGACATTATTAAAGGAAAAATAGAATTTGCTCAATTTTTAGAGAGAGAGGATAATCAAGATGAATCTGATGATAGTGTTGCTCCTTGTATACTTAAACCTATTCCGATAGGAGTTGCTTTATTGGTAATTCCTCTAACAAATATTACAAGTGACCGAATTTATGCCTGTAACTCATTTTCTGATTTATTATTAAGGTAAAATTAAGTTTGACTTTCTAATATATTATTATTATTCCCCTTTATTTTGCGAATTTGAATTCACGTAATTTTTCTTGCAGCAATAAATGGATAACACAGGATTTGGTCTTTCCTGATAATTTTCAAAATGATGAGGATAAGGGAGCAAAAATTTTACCTAATGGAACTTATTTAATCCCACAAAACGATTCATCAATGCAACCCACAAAACGAACATTTCCATTAACTAAAAAGTACGAACATTTTATAAATAGAAATCAAATCAATAATAAAATATTAATGAAACAACGAGACGAACCAACATCTGTAATTCCACAAGTTATTTTATTTACATCGTTGAATAATGGAGATCCTGGAATTAAGGAACCATTTATGGTAGATCATAATTTATTCAAAAATATCAAAGTAGGCGTGACTTTGCTTCGTAAAGATGATATGTTACATT